CTAGTTAAAACTGGAAATTTTCTACCTCACAATGTATACAGAGAGTTGGAGGATTTTGAATGTAAATAAAGACAAAAAATTTGCTATATTATTGATCGTTTTAAGATTCCTTTTGTAAAAGGCAAAAAACAAATTTCCTGGTAATTTTTAATGCGTACCAACGAGATAAACAACTCAGGGGCATACTACAAAATTTTAAACGCTACAAATTGTCTATTCATATTTTCCTATACTTAGCTATTTCCAATAACACCATTTTTTGTCGATGCTTTTGGTAGGAAGTAAGTAGAAGAGTTATCCTAACAGCATGTGTAGTTCTATATCTAAAAATTTAGTTGCAGTATGTACATCAGCTATAATCACAAATTCTTTGCGACCATAAGTAGCGATTTGTTAGTTTTGACGATTGATTTTGCACGTGTTCCACACAGTAAATTTAATGTTTTTGGCAATGCCGATATAATTAATATTGTTATAAATTTGGGTTGCACATTTTTTGCAAAGGGTAGTTATTTTGTAGCATTAGTGAATATGCTTGTGTTCTATCTGGTACAGGTATAGTATAAAATAAGCCTTACTATGTGGCTCAGTAAAAGATTTGATCCATCAATAATAAACTAACCCATTAGAATCAATTCCAAGATGAAAATTCATTGTTAACTAAAATCGTTGTTCTTTTTCAGAATTCTACCTAACTCGTAAGCATAAATTCCAAATAAATTAATGGAATTGTTTTTAGGTCATGTTACATAAATATGGAAATTTTGTATTAAAGAATATAATACCTACATATTCTTCTCGTTTACTCAGTGCACAGGATCTTCATTATAGTTCTTCGCTCTTTCTACTTTTGACTGATCTTTGACTTTCTCATGTTCTCATACTGTTGCAGAAGCAGCAGTATGAGAAATATGATTGACTTACTTTTGTCCAATGTCTTGTCCTAGTTCGTACTTTTGTTAAAATAAATATATTCCTTTTGCAATATTACAATATTTATACCGTTCTTTTGTATTCATACGTTTCCAAAACTTCTCTGTAAGTTGGTACCTCAAATAATGTATACCTATGGTACTAATGGTAACTTTGCTTCGTCTCTGATGAATAGGATCATCAAGTTATGGTGAAATGTCGATTTACTCCACCTAATCCATCAGCAAAAAAGATAAAAAGAATATATATGAGACTGTAGTGAAAAGTATCAGTCTATGCAGCTGTTAAGTATGGCCATTGAAAATAAAGCGCATTAACAACGCTGAGAGCAACGAAAACGGATTTTTGAAGGACAGCAGGAAGATCTAAAAGAGAAATGATAAACAACGAATGCATTAGAGAAATAGGGGGAATAAAATGAACGATCACAGATGACTTATCAATAAAACAATTTATCTGGTTTCGAATAATCAGACAAGAAGACACGTTATCTCCCAAACTATTTACTGCAGTTTGGAACATGCTTTTAAGCAATTGGAGTGGGACGCCAGAGGAATCAATGTCGACGATGAAATACTCTCTCACCTACGATTTGCAGACGACAGAGTTATGATAACAGATAAGAGATTAGAACTATGCTTACTGAGTTAGATGCCGCCTTTAAGGAAGTTGGTTTAAACATAAATTTTGGAAAGACAATACATGAGAAATCTGGTACCAAGCGAAAATCCAAAGTCGTCTACAACGAAATCATAAATATAAATACTTAGGTCGTGAAATTCAAATTACCAGGGACAACCAACACAGAACCTCAAAGAAGAATCACTTTAGTATGGGCCGCATAAGGGTTCTATCAGACATCTTAAGGAGCGACATGCCAAATTATTTGAAAAAGAGGACGTTCGACCAATGTGTACTTCCAGTCATGGAATGTGTACCAATGTGTACTTTCACCAAAATCCGAGTAGCCCAAAGAAGAATGGAACGTTCGTAACTTGAACTCACTGTCAGAGACAATTAAAAACGAGAAAATAATAATAACAGGAGTCAAAGACGTCTAGAGCACATTGCATGGATACAGTAAAACTGGATGGACTATGTGGCCAGGATAAATGACGGAGACCATCATTACGAACCAAAAAATTACACTGTGAGAACTGAAGACCGGCAGAACTGAAGGAAATTAGGGGAGACCTATGTTCACTTTAAAGCGCAGAAGGCTGGATGATGATGAGACTAAAATGGCAACCAGAAAGCAAGTATACACGAGGTAGGCCATGAACAAATTAGAGAGAAGGAATACCTATGGAACGACTAACGGAAGTGGCGATTGCAAGTCGGGAAACGGGGGAGAACGTCATAAACTGACATTTAGTCAGCAATAGTAGTAGTATTATTTTGCATTCTTACAGATGGGTATGTGTTGTGGCGGTTGGTAAATGTTATTTGATTGAATTTTGCTTTATTTACTTTCGTCCACGTCTGTTGTACCGATTTTTAAGTACATTCAGGTTATGTTGCCAGTCTTTTATATGGTCTTCGTTTATATAGGCTTTGCAAGGGTCCAAAGACATTACCCTGTGAGACACTTCAGTTTAAAGGACATATGTTGGATTGTTGGTCGTTGAATTTTACAGGAAAGTGTCTATCTGATATATAGGATTTTAGTAAGAGCAAATGGTTGCTGGATAATGCTCTTTTTATAGAGCAGACCTCTCTATCGGACTTTATGGAACATTTCAGAAATGTCTGGACTTTTTGTTTATCATTCCTGTATCATTCATTGCAACTAGATGAATTAAACGATAAAATAACAACAGAACTACTAGAAGCAGGCTTGAAGATTGCTAATAAACAAAAGCGAAAACTACAAAAAATTAGCGCTAAATCACAAGATATGCTAAAAAAACGACGACAACTCCTGAATGATAACAAAAGAAATACAGTGGAGTTTACCGAACTGAACAAAACCATAAGAAAAGAGATAAAGGAAGATTTAAACAAAACCAAGAAGATCGCATTAAGAAAATCATAGAGAAGAACAAAAGTTTAAAAACAAATGAAGACAAATATAGGAAAAAGAAAACTAATCATGCTTAAAGCTGAGAACAATGAAGAAAGAGATCTAGGAGAAATAGTAAAAATCACAGAAAGATATTTACACAGGCCTATACAGTTCAAAAATGATCCACCGCTATCATCTAAACAGAATCTCTCGAGGAAAATACAAAATGTTGGCTCAGAGATATTACCAGAAATAACTGAAGATAAAATCGAAAAATCCAATAAACGACATGAAAAGAAATAAAGCGCCCGGTGACGACAAAATACTGGCGGAACCGCTAAAAGAAGGAGGAGACACGATAAAAATAATGCTACAAATACTGTTCAACAAATGTCTGTTTGAAGGTAAAATACCTAAACAATGGAGAAATGCCAACACAATCTTAATACATAAGAAAGGAGACCGAACAGACCTAAACAACTGCCGTCCTATTTCCCTTTTGGTCACAACTATATAAAACCTTCACAAGAATAATAAACAACCGATTAACTTATAAACTTGATAACTACCAACCAGTGGAACAGGCCGGATTCAGGAAAGGATACAGCACAATCGACCATCTACATGCGCTTAAAATCTTAATTGAGAAAACCAATGAACACAACCTTCCGCTGTATTGCTTTCGACAGCATTGAACACTGCTCGGTTGAAGAAGCTCTGGTCAATAGTAGGTTAGATTCAAGATACCGACAATTGATACATGATATTTACCAAAACGCAACCATGACCGTAATTCTGGCCGACAAATTAATAACGGATAATATAAAAGTTAAACGAGGAGTCCGACAAGGCGATATAATTTTACCTAAACTGTTTACCTTGACCCTCGAAGACATAATAAAATCATACAGATATGGGAAAAACCAGAGGAATATGTATTAACGGAAAATACCTAAATCACCTTAGATATGCGGATGATATACTCCTGATCTCCTCGGAACGACAAGAACTGGAATTAATGCTGAATGAACTTCATGAAAAATCACTGCAAAAAGGCCTAAAAATTAACTTCAACAAAACAAAAGTAATGACAAACACGGAAGACCAAGATGCAATAAAAATACAAACAGAAAAAATAGAACAGTAAATGAGTATATCTATCTAGGACAAGCAATCAGAACTAACAGAGAAAATAAAACAGCCGAAATATCGAGACGAGTAAGAATGGGATGGGCAGCGTTCGGCAAACTTTCTTACGTTCTAAAAAATCAAACAATCCCTCTATACTTACGAAGCAAGGTATATAACTCCTGTATCATACCGTGCTCACCTACGGAGCACAGACATGGACATTTACACAGGCCAATTTGGATAGGATAAGGAAGGCACAAAGAGCGATGGAGAGACAAATGTTGGGTATATCACTTAAAGATAGAAAACGTAACCAGTGGATCAGAACCAGAACAAAGATAGTAGAACAAAGAGATCAAGAGGCAGACCACAGATGAGGTGGAAAGATGACATCAGGAAACAAGGAGGTCCCACATGGCAGAGAACAGCTCAAGATAGGGAAAGATGAGAGAACTGGGGAATACTATATCCAACACATGGAAGGATAGAGAATAGGTCAAAAAAAAAATTATTCATTTAGAGAAATATTTTGCTTTCCTTATTCTATAGTTGATTTATTTGATATATCTTCGTTTCACTCTTTGTGGTATCAAGTTCGTCGTATAAATTTTTATACGGTTCTGCAGTAGATTATGCTACTGCTACTTTCGTTTCCTTTTTGGCAATTTTATACTTGTGAAGATCGGTATTAAATCTTGTCATTCCATACAGTTTTCTCTTTTATTTCTTCTTGAACTTCGTCTAACAACCACCAGGTACATTTAGTCTCAAACTTCCTCCTTGAGTTTGATTCCAACTAAAAAACTTCCGTATTTACGCAAAGATTGTAATTAAAAATTTTAGGTTTTTGTGTATGTGTGAATTGTACGTGAAATTATATTGTGCTTTCTGATTAACACTGAAATAATTTGATATTTCTAGTGCAAACAAAAATGGTGGGGAGGAAAACGAATGGATTACGCTCTCTATTGTCCGGAAGGACTTTCAAACTTTCCGACAAACGCTCTACCTCATTTATTCCACGCAAGTTATTGGGAAAGTTGTGATGTTATAGCTTTTATCTTAAGGCAAATAGGAGGTATAGAAGTAACTTCCTTGCCAGGTGATAATAACATGGAACAGATGTTCCGACCGGGACAACCGAGAGAGAAGTGGATACGAAAAAGGACATCCGTAAAACTAAAGGTATGATATTTTATAGTAATATTTAGGCTGTTTCCATAATTTTATATAAATAAAATAAAAGATTCCAATAAAATTCATAATTTTACTCTTGATAAGGTTTGGAAAAAGTACAAAAACAGGTCGATTTTTATTTTCAAATTGTAATTGTTTTGTCGCAATTGTTTTATTTGTTGTATTTGTAACAACCTTAATTTAATTGAAGAAATGAATAGTCCTTTCCAGACAAATTCAGCTATATATTTTTTTTCTACTCTCTTACTAGTAAATTGTATATTACCTACTATTTGGATGCTAAGTAAATGCATCATAAACAGATACTGACACGTAATGACTAGCACGTAATAATAGTATATTACATAACGAGAGTTGTAAGAAGCTTATTACATGCGAGTAAAAAAGTTGAGCGCGAGCCGCGTAGCGGCGAGCGCAGTAATTTTACAAGCATGTAATAAGCTTACAACTCAAGTTGTGTACTATACTTTTTCTACCATTATTTTCGTTTATAAAAATAAAAATTAAATTACCACTATATTTACACTGACAGATTAATAATTTTTAATCTGTCAAAATAACGTCTGTTAATTCGTTTTCATGGTAAACTCGACCAACTCGACCATAACGTTTGCTAGACATTACGTGTCAGTATCTGTTATGATGCATTTACTTAGCATCCAAATAGTAGGTAATATACAATTTACTAGTAAGCGAGTAGAAAAAAAATACGCTTCAGTTTTATTAAAATGTGTAATATCACATAAGCCTCGTAAGTCAGTTGGTCGAGTTACCATGGAAACGAATTAACAGACGTTATTTTGACAGATTAAAAATTATTAATCTGTCAGTGTAAATATAGTGGTAAATTTAATTTTTATTTTTATAAACGAAAATAATCGTAAGAGTACACAACTTGAGTTGTAAGCTTATTACATGCTTGTAAAATATACTGCGCTCGCCGCTACGCGGCTCGCGCGCAACTTTTTTACTCTCGCTTGTAATAAGCTTCTTACAACTCTCGTTAAGTAATATACTATCATCGTTTTCATCGTTCTGGGCGTGTGCGTGTAAAAACACTTGCAATAAGTTGTTTCATCTGTCTTTCCTTGTCTAAGCTCGATTCGTTTACCTCCTCCAGTGGCGGAGCAAAAATGTAGCATGTCAAACGAAATAATAGTTATAAAAGAAAATTATAAATTAATTTTTCATTAAATTTCTAATAACGGAATATACGTATAAATTGCGAAGAAGTATTTTTCTAGCTTCCAGTACAATAGGACAGGATATAACGAAAAGTACATTTTAAAAGGATTTTGAAATATACTCAAAAAAGTGTTAATTATTTAACCCACTTTAATTAAAAAATGATACAGAATTTTTTAAGTTTTAAGCACTGTAGCGAATTCTGAACTGTTACAACGTACTGACTTTGATTAATTAGCTAATCAGTCAGCGTCTTCACTGGAACTGTCTTCATCATGGAATCTTCCGCCAAATCGATGATAATCCTACTTTCATTTTCATCATATGTGACCATTTTTACCCAGTTCGTCCTGAATTATTTTTCAGTATGGTTAACACAACTCGCCCTCGCTGGAGGTGTTGCCTCAGCTAATGCATCGCCCCAAACTTGGTTTACTGTTTCATCTCCACGTCCATGTTCTCCAATATGACGATCATAGTATTGTTTAGAAATGCCCCAGACCAACTCAATCGGATTTATATGACAGTGATATGGAGGCAATTTCAAAACCTGATGCCCAATGTTCTTGGAATAGCTCGTCTATAACGTACCTGGTATTTTGTGTTTTATTCTGGCGACTAAGACTCAATAGCTCTGTCTTGCCCGAATCGTCGTCAAAAATTATTTTTTTCGCTTGTAACCATTCTTGTAAGTCCGATTTTTTCCAATTCGCATTCGGTAACTTTTCTATTAAAAAGCTATGGTATGAGGCATTGTTCATAATAATTAGAGATGGTTCCTCCAACATTGGTATCAGCTTTTCGGAGACCCCACTTTTTAAAAGACTCTTTATCCATAGAATCATGATTGTCTGCACTCTTCGATTTCGTAGAAAGCAGTAATCCAGCATCTTTTAACAATATCCTTGCCTACTTCCGGCATGTAAAACAACAAAGCGTTTACCTGTATTTCGTGTCCTTTTCTGATGCTTTTCACACAGTCATCTTGCCAAGTACGTTTATATGCCCCTTTTAGGAATATTCATGTTTCATCGAAAAAAACGAACTGAAGTGGGCTTGGACTTAAAAAATTTCTCATATAATGCCTCAAAAAATACAGTCGTTTGGAGACAATACATGGTTTCTCACATAGGATTCGTCTACTATTTTCTAGCTTGTATGAAAACCCACAATTTTTCATAAGACGACACAAACTTGTATCAGAACCGTCATAGAGATGCTTGTTTCTTAAATTGTGTATTTAGAACTTTAATTGTAACGTGCTCTCCTTTTATAGTATCGCTGACATCATTAGTTTTTTTTTGTTCATGTACCGATGATAACGAAAGCAAAGGTCCGTTGTTTTCTTTTTCTTTTTTAAAATACTCCAATAAATGAACTACACATTGTCGCATTTCTCCTGTTATTGTTTTTCCCGGCATTTTTTTTATTAAATAGAACAATTAGTTATTCACAACAAAAAATAATAGTAAAACTGTTCGGAACAAATTCCAACAATGACTGACTAAAATCGACTAAACACAACATAAAATATCAATGGCAATTGGCTACAATTATAAACCTATTAGCCAGCGCTTTCAAGAACAATGCCACAAGTCATTATTGCAATGGGTATCGAAAGAGAGAATTATTTTATGTAATGGAATTCCACACAGTAAGAGCTCAAACTATTAATTAATTAAAAACTGTTTACTTATAAAAACTATTTCATCAGCTACTTCAAACCTGCACAGATCATGGTAACATGTTAAAAAAAACACGTCACTTGCAGCTATCTGTATTCGTAAAGAGGCCGAACTTATCACCGACACCGTATCGGCCAAACGCATCGGTGTTATTGCTACAATACTGGGAGACGTGAGTGGTCTCTTCATTCCCTTCTCATCGCACTTTACCATGACGAACGTGACTCGCACAATTGAATTACGCATCTGTGTATCAGAGAGAGACGAATATTAAAAATTCCGTAGTAGCTTATTGCAGGCACACGCCAAGAACGATGAAAACGATTTAATTACACTTCCTTGTCAATCAATTCCAATTTTTGCCACTGAGTATATTAATTTTATAAAGATATATAAAATCTGAAAAATAACTTGTATTTTTTTGACATAAACTGTCTAATTAATTATGGTTGTGCGTCACAGGGGGCACTGGTATATATTGGAGCGAAATTATAAAAAAAAATTGGATACTTTTTGGATAAACCGCGTGTGATATGGTATAATATAATATAGTAACTTAAATAATAGCGAATTAAATATTTTTTAGAATGTTACTGCCAATCACAGAGCAAACGATGTCATTGTTCGTGAGAATGCCCCACAGGTGTTAACTGCGAGGTTCATGTATGGGCCTTTAGATATGATAACTCTAACAGGAGAAAAGGTTGACATTCACGTAATGAAAGATGCTCCTTTGGGTGAATGGACACATTTATCTACTGAAGTTACCGATAAAACTGGTAGAATAACGTTTTGTATCCCCGATGAAAAAGCACTCACCTACGGACTTTATCCCATTAAGGTAAGCAAATGTCTATTTTAATAATTTATTTTTTGACGGTCTCAGCTATAAAATACAGTTTATCGGCCTCCACTTTTGTCTCTAATTTAGATTTATAGAATCTGGAATCAGCGTGTCGCGTTCGATTTTGTATCCAGCCTTTGCGTCTGATGAGGCCATGGGAGGCAGAAATAACGTCCTAACACGGAGTTGTTTATTAATTCGAATGCAAAGACTTACGAATTATTTTTATTTATGGTATCTTTTTTATTGTAGATGGTGGTAAGAGGAGATCATACTGCCGTAGATTTCTTTTTGGCTGTGGTTCCCCCTAAAACTGAATGCATTGTGTTCAGTATAGACGGCTCATTTACAGCTAGTGTTTCTGTCACTGGACGTGACCCAAAAGTTAGAGCCGGAGCTGTCGACGTTGTAAGGTAATTTTTTATTGATCTTTCAGTTGTTTTTTATATTGCGTAGTGCATATTAATAAATAGAATTTCTATACAAAGCATAGTAGAAACGTGTTAGAAAGTAATTTAATGTTTACACAAGACTGCATTCATCTCTATGTTTAAGAAAGTGCATTACACGGTCCTGGTGGTACTATTACTTCGAATAATACTCACAACGAATATCAAGGAATGCAAACAATATAAGGTCTTAACAAAGACAACGAGAAGAAAGAGAGAGAACAAATGTACTAGTACACAGTGGAACAGTATTTCGAAAATTCTAGCTATAGTCCAAGCTGTACGAAAAAAACGTGCATTAAGGGGCAAAAAACAATGTTTTAATACTTTATGGTAAAATGAGCGCAATATTATGAAAGTTCATTAAAAAAGCTTTAATTTAAGCTTTGCTTAAATACTTCATTTCATTTCATGTTTGACTCAATAGTTCATACAAAAATTAACGATTGAAAGTCCAAAATGTTAATTTTCGCCATTTAAATTTTTGAAATAACTTTTGTTTTTTTTATGCAAAAAAGCATTATATTGTAGCTCTTTTAATTACAAATCGAATGAGTCCTTTGTAAGATCCGATTGGTCAGTTTCTGTTGGAGAAACGTTTAGTTGTTTATAAAAATTCTTCATAATCCAGCCTCAAGAGTCCACTGCTGAACATAGGCCTCTTCCTCATGTTTCCAACCCCGTCTATCTTGCGCCGCTCTTATCAGTTTTTATTGAGTCTTCTTAAATCGTCAGTCCATCTTGTAGTGGTCGACCGACGCTTCTCTTGTCTTCCCTTGGCCTCCATTCCAATAACCTCTTTGTCCATCGCCCATCTGTCATTCTGGCTATGTGTCCTGCCCATCTCCATTTTAGTCTGGCTATCTTCTCGATGATGTCAGTCACTCCGGTTCTTCTCCTGATGTCTTCGTTGGTTATTCTGTCTCGCAGAGTTATTCCTAACATGGACCGCTCCATTCTTCTCTGCGTGACTCTCAGTTTGGTAGCTGCTGCTTTTGTTAAGGTAAGTGTTTCTGCTCCGTACGTCAAGACTGGGAGGACGCACTGATCAAATACCTTTCTCTTTAGGCATGTGGGCAGCTCACTTTTAAAAGTTTCTCTCAGTTTTCCAAATGCTGCCCACCCAAGGCCGATTCTTCTCTTCAGTTCATGAGTCTGGTTATCCCTGCCAATCATAATTTCATGTCCCAGGTATTTATATCTATCTACGAGTTCTATTTCTTTCCCACCAATACTGATGTTCTGGTTGGGTACCAAATTGGTCATGATTTTTGTTTTCGAGATATTTATATTTAAACCTACATTTTCTGTAGCCACAACGAGTTCCTGTACCATCTCTCTTGCCATACCTAGATCTTCAGCTATTATAAGTATATCATCGGCGAAACGTAAGTTGTTTAGATATTCTCCATCTATTTTTATTCCCTTTGTCATCCAATCCAAATTCTTAAAAGCATGTTCTAGCACCGTATTAAAAAGTTTAGGTGACATTGGGTCTCCTTGTCTAACCCCCCGTTCTATTTTTATGCGATTACTGTTAGTATGTAATCTGACAGTGGTTGTTGCCTGCAGGTATATTTTGTATAATAATTTAGTATATCTATAATCTAGCCTGCATTCTTTAAGCGCCTGTAATATTTTGCTTAGCTCAACTGTGTCAAAGGCTTTGTGAAAATCGATAAATATTAGAACTAGAGGTTTATTGTATTCCACTGCTTTCTCTATTAGGGTTTTTATACTTTGTAGATGGTCATTTGTTCCGTAACTTTTTCGGAATCCTGCCTGTTCCCTTGGTTGATAAGTCTCTAATTTTCTTTCCATTCTCTTAACTAGCATTCGCGTAAACAACTTCTGAGGAAGCTAATCGGTCTGTAATTCTCTAAATTTGCTTTGTCTCCTGCTTTGTGTAATAGAATCATAGTAGCGTTGTTCCATTCTGTTGGAATATTGGCGCTGTAAAGGCAGATATTGAAAAGTTGTTTAATTTTTTCAAGTAATACATCCCCTCCAATTTTTAGTGCTTCTGATACTATTTCATCTTCACCCGGGGTTCGATTATTTTTCATTTTCTTCAGGGCATAAAAATTCTTAAATGTTTATAAATTTTACAGGGCCAGAACTTAAAAAAAAGATAAAGATCTAATTCTTAACGGATCTTATTACTTATTTTATTACTTTGAAGTAGGGGCGACTTTTGCGTTATAAATTAATTAAGCTATCTATATGTAACACACTTTTTTAACTTACTGATTCTTTTAGCTGAAGTCAAGACAAAGATTAAAAAAAAAAGTTTTCTACGACCAATAGAAGCGGAGTTAGCTTAATTTGTTTAAAAAATCACAGTTGCTTTTTTTTTATATAACAACTAACAATTAAAATCGGTGCCATTCTTCTGTACGCCGTAACACTTCTCCTATCGAAACGGCGAGGAAAAAACTTAATGTGGAACTTTAAATCCGCGGCGCTCAGAAAAATTTATGATATCTCTGTTACATACGAATAATTTCGCTCTTTTTTTTATCTGAGGTATCTGCAAATTTTGTGAACATTGCCGATATTTTTTTGGCTGCGATTAGTAACTATTAATATTTCTTTTTAAATTACTCTTTAATCATCTTTATTTTACAAATGATATTTTTTTGTAGGTGTTAAATCGTTAATATTTATATTTTTTTTCTCATAAGTTTTTTTCTCGTCGGGACGACAGGAGAAAGTTCCCCCACCACCGAGCCAATTCGGCTACTCGGATAGCAGTGGATGAAGCGTTACCCTCTCGCTGGGAAAGGAAGAAAGAGTTTTCTATTAAATAAAGGAAAACTTTTATCAGATCGGTACTTGCCTTAGACAAGTGCTCGCTCAGATATAAGCGTCTCATTGCAACAAAGCATGTACTTGATATAAATACTTCACAAATTATATCATGCTAAACAACCTTACTACGTTACTAAAATCATTCGAAAAGGCTGGTTTAATTGAGGCTGAAAAGACAAAACGTGCTTGTATATAGAATAGTATAGTTAATCATTGTTTTTTAATATTTCAGGCATTGGCAGGAACTTGGATACCTGATTATCTATATAACTGGAAGACCAGATATGCAACATAGAAGAGTTGTGTCTTGGTTATCTCAACACAACTTTCCACATGGATTAATATCGTTCGCCGATGGTCTTTCAACTGATCCACTTGGACATAAAGCTGCATATCTCAATAATTTAGTGGAGGTACGTTTGACCCTATGTATCAAAAAGTAAAAAACATCAGGTCTTCTTCATTTTGACACGTAAAAAGAACATAAAAACTTAAATATCCACATGCAGCAAGTTTTCCGGCTAATTCTCTTATATTATGTAATAAAAATTTAGCAAATATTGGATATACGAAAATGAAAGTAATGTATTCTGTAATATACAGTATTGGAAGATTTAAAACGGAACATACGGATTATTAATACAATTAGTAAGATCCCCTGACCTGCAATTACCCAGTGTAAATTTCAATATAACGTCGCGATGTCTTATAATTAATTCATTTGTTCGACTGGACTCCTTCTCCAGTCGATATTTTTCGACTGCTGCGCACGTGCGCACCTTATCAAACACAAACGATCATCGAATAATAAAATCTTGCATCTCCCAAGCCGCTAGTATAAAACGGAATACAGGAGGCTATATCTCAAAGCGCCAAAAATCTACAATATTACGTAGATATGGAATTAAAATATTATTTTATTAAAAGAAATTGTTATATTTTATTGCCATAACGGCATAAAAAAAAGTAGATTTCTAAAAATTAAAATAAAGTAGCTTTCTAAAAATTAAAATAAAAACGAATTCCAAAAGTAACATAATAATATTAAAACAAAAATTCAACGTAATAGAGGTTCAAATATTAAACCTCTCTCTGCGGAGCAATAACCAAATCTGTTGTACCAAGATAGTCTCATATCCCTGAGCAGTTCCGATCTAATGCTTCCACAAAAATGAATTTTTTTGTCCCTCAATTCCGCTAAATTTCGGGCTCTTTTAAAACCATGTCGATAAACACTTGTTTTTAAATATCCCCAAAGAAAAAATCATTTGGGGATAAGTCTGGTGATCTGGGAGGCCACTTGATCGTACCACGAAGAAATTAATTTATTTCCAAAAATGGTTTCTAAATAATTTTGAACTGCTCGTGTATTGTGAGCAGGACAGCCGTCTTGCTGAAACCAAATATCGTCAAAGTTGACAGAAGTAATTGAACTGCTGGAATAATTTGATTTTGCAACAATTCTAAATATTTATTTCCCGTTAAATTACCATCAATAAAAAATGGACCGACGATATAATCCCCCAAATACCTGTCCAAACATTAAGTTTTTGGGGATACTGTGTTCGTACTGGAATATCTCAAGTGTTTATTATGCCGAACCAATATCGTACATAGAAGGATTATGTTTCCGATGTAACGAAAATGTCGATTCATCGGTAAACAAAATGTTTTTTAAAAAATGTTCACTTTCATTTTGTTTATTCATCATCAAGTTCACAAAATTCCATTACGCTTGAAATTGTCCTCGGCTAATAACTCTTGAGTTGTTGAAACCTTAAAACAACGATAACACCATTCCGTTTCAATATTATTCCTGACAGTCCTATCATTCATGTCAACTTCTTCAGCAATAGTTTTGCTTGAACAAGGATCACTAGTTTCAGCAACACTACAACATCAATATCCCTATTTTGCCTAACTTCGTGATTATTTTCTCTCGTGTAGATCCGTACATTTTGACAGTTTTGTACACAACCAAACGATTCAAATTTTTTAATAATACGACTATATAGTTGTTTGTGTCGGTATTGGCCTATCTTCATAGGCACAAGTAAATAAATTTATAATATCACGGTACGAGTTGCCCCTAAAATACCATTTTTAAATCTTGTACTTTTTTTCTTTTCATTGTTTGTATACATTGGTTTATGGTTA